TAACGAAGCTGGATGTGCTTCGCCTTCCCAACCAGTCGGGGCTCCTCACACAACAGGAAAGCAGACCTGTTGTCGGCGAACAAGACTGGGGGAGAGCGAGGCCGCTCACCAAGGTCGGTGAGAAGGAAAGACAGCCAGCGAAGCTCCTGAGCGGCCATGGCCGCAGCGAACACCTCTGCCTCACAGCTGGAACCGGCAACGGACGACGCCCGAGTCGACCGCCACGAGACAGCACCTGTCCCGAGGCTAAAGGAGTACCCCTGTGTAGACCGACGCGTCTCCGCGTCGTCGGCCTACGACGAGTCTGAGTAACCTGTGAGTGTAACTGGCTGCTTCCCTCCAAGGACAAGTCCCATGCCTGATGTACTCGCCACATACTTCGCCACCCTCTTAGCAGCGGACCAGTGGGACGGTCGGTGTCTCCTAGGCGCAACAAAGCGCGCAAGGACGCTAAGAGGGTAAGCTAGGTCTGGGCGAGTACAGGTCATCAGGTACATGAGACAACCCACCAGCTCAGGATATGGACCACTGGACTCAAATGACTCGTCCGAAGGTGGACCGTGAGCCCATGATCCACAGCAAGAGGGGTGAGCTGTACCTTGGAGAACGGGAAGCGAAACCGCGTGAGGATCTGCTCGACCATATGCGACTGCGTCAGCGTAATGGTGCGAGCTGCTTTGTCCCTGGTGATCTGCAGGCCAAGGTAGTGCTGTAGCTCACCAAGGTCAGTGCAAGTGTGTCTCCTCTGCAGTTCCTCCTTCACGGAGGCCAGCGCGCGTCGGTCGGGAGTGGCAAACACTAGGTCGTCGACGTAGACCAGGACAAAGAACGGGGTCGAGCCACGGCGGACGAACAGTGACGGGTCGGCAGACGACGGAAAGAAGTCAAGCGCTGCAAGGGTCGAGCGAAGTGTGTCGTGCCACTCACGTGGAGCTTGACGCAGGCCGTAGACTGGTCGACGCAGCTGCCACTGGGTCCCAGGTGGGAAAGAGCCAGTGAAGCCAGGCGGGCGACGTAGCCAGATCTGCTCGTGCAGGCTCCCCTGAAGGAACGTGGTGGAAAAGTCCAAGGAGTGCAACTCGTAGTCGCGCTGGGCTGCAATATGCAGCAGCACCCAAAGAGTACTCATCTTCGGGGTGGGCGCAAAGGTCTGGAAGAAGTCCACCCCCTCTCGCTGACTGAAGCCTCTCGCCACATAGCGCGCCTTGAACACTGGTGGTGATCCACGCGGCCGCTTCACCTTGTAGAGCCATCGGCCACTGACGACGTTCGTCCCAGGTGGTGGGACTGCGTCGACGTAAGTGTCTGTGGACCTATAAGATGCCATCTCTGCCTCCTCAGCTGCTATCCAGTACGAGGCAGAGGGTCCCGCGACCGCCTCAGCATGATTGCGAGGGATCGGGATGTCAAGAGCGTCTGGATCCCCCTCAGGGGTAAGCAGCATGGCGCAGAGATGAGGAACAACAGCCGCAAGGAAACCAAGCTCAAACTGCCTGTCCTCTAGGACCTCCAGGGAAAAGACAGGAGCACCCCCAGAGGACGGAGAACAAGCAGGGCTACTCACTAAGTGAGCAGCGTAGTCAAGGCGGTGGGAAGAGGCAAAGCCAGCGACAGTGGTAACAAGTGCTGAGACATACGACAGGGGTGCAGTCAGGTGAGTGACCAACGTGGACAAAACACGAGAGACGACAGGACGGGAGGCACGAAGGTAGTCGGACAACGGGTCGTGAAGCACAGTGAGGGACGACTCAGGAGGCTGTGGAAGGAGAGGAGGAGGTGGAACACGAGAGCAAAGAACAAGGTGGAACGGACCGTCTGCACGGTAACAGGACCGACGACGCTCTGGGGACAAAGCACGACTGAGGGGAGAACGACGAGTCCACTAGGACAAGGACAGAGACTCAACAGGGGGAACAGGAGGGGACGGTAGGGGACCACGAACAAAGCGTGCAGGTGCTGGGTCGGGGAGGTCGCGTAGTCGCAGTCGTTGCTGCTCCGCCTCCTCTGGCGTCTGCTGCGACGGTACCGGCCCCTGCTGCTGCTCCTGTGGCTCCGCATCTGCCCTCTCCTGCTGCGACTGCAGCTGCACCCGCTGCTGCGACCGGGACTCCTGTGCTACCCTCTCCTGCTCCGGCCGTGACTCCTCCTCTACTCTCTCCTGCTGGGTCTGTAACTGCACCTGCTGCTGCGAGTGGGACTGCTGCTCTACCCTCTCCTGGTGTGGCCGTGACTGGTCCTCTACTCTCTCCTGCTGTGTCTGTAACTGCACCTGCTGCTGCGGGCGGGACTCCTGCTCTACCCTCTCCTGGTGCGGTCGTGACTCCTCCTCTACCCTCTCCTGCTGCGGCTGTGACTCCTCCTCTACTCTCTCCTGCTGCTGCTGCGGCTGCTGCTGCTGCTGGTGGTGGTGGTGCTGCTGCTGCTCCTGCTGCTGTGCCCTCTCAAACCGCTCACGCTCCTCCCTCTCCAACCTGAGGAGACGCTGCTCACGGGTCAGGAAACGTACAGTGTGCGGTGTAGGCGCCACAGTGCTAGTGCCTCCAGCTCCAGCACCCCCCAAACCAGCACCTCCACCACCGACACCCCCGGGGCCTCCAGTACCTCCCGCAGGAACACCCCCAGGCTCCGCAGCAACAGGCCGCAGAGAAGAACGAGGAGGAAATTGCGGGACGGACGGGAAGCCAGGGGGTGAGGTGGGGCGAGGCCGCCGAGTCGAGGCTGCCGTGTCCTCCACAGGAGTGACCTCCACGCCCACAACCCCTGCACCCCCAGAGCCGACACCACCAGCTCCTGCAGCCCCAGTACCCTCACCCTCCGCAAGTGCACCTCCTGCACCCCCAGACACGACAGGGACTGGACGCTGCGGGGGGGAAGACTGCGGAGTGACGTGCGATACACCTGACGGGGCAGGACGCGAGGGGGGGGGGGGGGCTACCGGGGCGACTGGTGGGGGCTCAAGGGTGAGGAACAGCGGGGTGGAAAATGCCTCATTACCTCGGTGGGGGCGACTCCTGTAGTAACAGACAGACTCGTCGAACGTGACGTCCTGAGAAGCGAAGAACTGGTAGGTGATCGGGTCGTAGAACACCCAACCAAAGGCGCCCAACGGGAAGCCAAGAAAGACGTAGGCACGAGTGCGCGGAGACAAATTGTTCGCGCCAAGGGCGCAAACGTGAGCCAGAGAACCCCAGACACGGAAGTGGGCTGCTACGCCCGGAGAACCTGTCCAAAGGGAGACCGGCGTCACCCGTGGCCGTGCGTCACTGGGCCACTAGTTCAGCTGGTGCGCGGCGTAGCGGACTGCCTGAGGCCACAAGAACTGGGGGGCACCGGCATGGCACATGGAGGTCCGGGCAACCTCCATGACCAGGCCGATGCGTCGCTCGGCTACCCCGTTCTTCTGCGGTGAGGCTGGTAGCGTGTAAGACTGGATGATCCCCCGACCCTGACAGAACGTCTCCAGGCGAGTGGAAGAAAACTCACCACCACGATCCGAGTGTAGGCGAAGCCCACACAGGCCCTGGGCGCCACCCCACGCTAGTAGCCACGGCTCGAGGACGGTAGGCACGTCGGCCTTCCGTCGCAAGGGGAAAACCGTGTTGTAGCGGGAGTAATCGTCCACCACAATCAGGAAGTAGCGCTCCTGACGTGGCCCAAGGACCGGGGAGGGGCCCCAGACGTCCAAGTGCAGGGTCTGGAAGGGAGCCGTGGTGGGGGGAAACGAGGAGGAGTGAGGGGCAGCGCGCTGCCGACCCTCGACGCAAGGAGTGCACAGCGGCGCAGGCGAGCGGGGAAGCGGTGCAAGCGACTCTGGGAGACCTGAGACCAGACGGTAACGTGCCATCCTACTGAGACGCGGAAACGACGGGTGACCTAGACGGTGGTGCCAGAGGACCGACAGGTGGGTGAGGGACCGACAGTCACACGACACAGCAGCTACCTTACCTGACCTGACCTGACCTCACCAAGTGTGGTGGGACCTAGTGTTTAGTGAGTAGAGACCAGAGCCCGGCTCCCTGTGAAAAGTGGCCAGAGGGGCCCCAGTGGTACCGACTGTGCAGGAGGCAACAGGCTCGTCGACTGGGAAAGTAGTGACTACACCTAAGTCGTGGAGGTGACTGACACCCACCAGGTTCATGGAGAACGAGGGGGTGTAGTAACCTGTGAGGAACCCAGAGGGAGCCGTCGGACACGGGAGAGTGGTGGTGCTGCGGGCAACTACAGGTCCCACAGAGGGGTCAGCCAAGGCAACAGTGACTGGAGAGCGCAGTGGTGTGAGGTCAGTACAGTCGCGAAAGAAACAGCTGGACGCTCCAGAGTCTAGGGTGAAGGAAAGTTGTGCAGTCTGTGAGGTCGCACCCGAGCCAGCTACAAAGGCTGGTAGACTAGTGGTAGCTGCAGCTCCTACACAAAGACCCTCAGAGGCGCCTGGACTGGAAACAACACACACACCAAGACTGGAAACACATGTCTCTACTCGTGCAGTCGGGAACGGTCCTAGACCAGGTAGGTGAGACTCAACTGGTGCAGCAGTGCGCTGGCGAAGTCGCGAGGGCCAGTGCGGTGCAATAGCGTGAGGACCAAAACGCTCACGGTGGAGGTTGTCGAGTCGACGGTAGCTGCTGGACGCAGAGTGGTCAGGACTCCAACAGGTGGTGCCAGCACCAGGGCCTGTCATGGCCCAGTACCCGCAGGGGCTCCACCCTTTGGACCCGCAGGTCCCCACTGCCGGGAGTGCTGCGGCTGGCCCTGCTGCTGTAGAACTCTAGTACACGCCATGTGAGCCTATGCTGCTGCTGGTTCTGCTGGGGGCAGCCTAAGCTACTGCTGGTGCACTGGGGGCAGCCTAAGCTGCTGATGGTGCGCTGGCGGTAGCCTAAGCTGCTGCTCGAGCGCTGGGGCAGCCTATGCTGCTTCTGGTTTTGCTGGGGGCAGCCTAAACTACTGCTACTGGTGCTGCTTGTGGCGGGTTTCAGCTCTTGAGGCGGAGGATTCAGGTCATGGGGGGGGCAGCTCTGACTGGTACAGGTGGGACAGCGGGTGCGGTTCGGTGCGGTTCTGTGCAATTCAGTGCGATTCTGCGCGGTTCTGTGCGGTTCTGTGCAGTTTTGCGGGGTGGAGAGTACCGGGTGGGCCAGCTGATTCTGGGTGAGGTGACTGGAACAGGTGGGGCAGCAGCTCTCGCTGGAACGGGTGGGGCAGCGGGTGCGGTTCTGTGCAGTTCTGTGCAGTTCAGTGCTGTTTTGCGCGGTTCTGTGCGGTTCTGTGTGGTTCTGCGGGGTGGAGAGTACCGGGTGGGGCGGCTGATTCCAAGTGAGGTGACTGGAACGGGTGGGGCAGCAGCTCTGGCTGGAACGGGTGGGGCAGCGGGTGCGGTTCTGTGCGGTTCTGTGCAGTTCAGTGTGGTTCTGCGCGGTTCTGTGCGGTTCTGTGCGGTTCTGCGGGGTGGAGAGTACCGGGTGGGGCGGCTGATTCTGGGTGAGGTGACTGGAGCGGGTGGGGCAGCAGCTCTGGCTGGAACGGGTGGGGCAGCGGGTGCGGTTTCGTGCGGTTCTGTGCAGTCCAGTGCGGTTCTGCGCGGTTTTGTGCGGTTCTGTGCGGTCTGCGGGGTGGAGAGTACCGGGTGGGGAGGCTGATTTCGGGTGAGGTGACTAGAACGGGTGGGGCAGCAGCTCTGGCTGGAACGGGTGGGGCACCGGGTGCGGTTCTGTGCGCTCTGTGCAGTTCAGTGCGGTTCTGCGCGGTTCTATGCGGTTCTGTGCGGTTCTGCGGGGTGGAGAGTACCGGGTGGGGAGGCTGATTTCGGGTGAGGTGACTAGAACGGGTGGGGCAGCAGCTCTGGCTGGAACGGGTGGGGCAGCAAGTGCGTTTCTGTGCGGTTATGTGCAGTTCAGTCCGATTTCTGGTGTGGCGGCGGATTTGCATCGTGGGGCGGCAGATCGCGGGTGAGGCAACGGCTAACAGACCGGGCGGCGGGTAAGGCAGCGGGTGGGGCCGCGTCTAACGGGTGGGGCGGCGGTTATGACGGTGGGAAACAGGTGGGGCGACGGGTCGCTCGTGCGCGCGGCTGCTGCTGTGCGTGCGTGCGACTAACTACGGGGCCGCGGGGCCCACTAGCGAAGGAGCCTCGGGGCCCACGAACGAAGGGCCGTGGGGCCCACTAACGAAGGGCCGCTGGGCCCGCTAACGAACAGCCGCGACGGGTGACGGGCGACGGGAAAGAAAAAAAAGGAAACGGCCGTGATCGACGGGGGGAAACGGGCGACGGGCGACTGGCGACGGGGGGGGGGGGGGGTCTACAGGCGACGGGGCTAAGGTAAGCGCGCTACGGGCGGTCTAGGACGGGGCGCGACTAGGTGGGCCCATGATAGTCGAGTGATTTTTCCTCAGGGGAAAATCTCGCTAGGGTTAACCTAGCTCTACACCATGTCACAATGTAAAATTGACTAAAACAGAAAGTACAAACAAGATAAATGCAAAACCTAGCCCTAGTGCAAGTAGAAAATGACATAAGGGAGAACACCTAGACTAGAACTACACAAACTATAGATTTATAGTTTGACAGCTGGGCACTGCCCTGGATGACTGCAAGGCGTGCTGGGCGTCTGGACGCCGACCTGGGGGTTCGGACGGTGTCTTGGGCGCCTGGACACCGGACTGGGGACGCCGGGCATAGGTGGCCGGCTACGGACCGTGCTGGTCGACCAGGCGTGGTTGCCCGGTCGACCGGGATACCCGGGCGACATGTGCGAAGGTCGCCGGGGCGGAGTCTGCGAGGCCGACCTTGGGGGTGGTATCCCGAGGTCGACGTGGCTGGTGGGCGCAGTCGCTGGCGTGGAGTCTGCCAGGCGTCTGCGCTGTGCTTGTGACAAGGTGTGGAGCACCACCAGCTACGAAGCAGATGCACCGTTGTCCTGCAGGTGCAATGCTGTGCAGCCGACTTGCTGCAGCGTTGGCACACCGTGGATTTGCAACGTTGGCGAACCGCTACTCTGCAACGCTGGAGCGGTGCGAGCGCTGCTGCGCTGGAGCGCGGTCGACCATGCTGCGCTGGAGGTCGACCAGCAGCCTAGCTAGCTCTGATATAGTGTGTGTTGCCAATGTTGTTGCTATCATTGTTGTCATGTTTTCCTAGTGAAACTCTTGCTAATTCTCCTCGTGAACTAGCAAGCAGCATGAACACAAGGAAACGACTAAGGAACGAACGCAGAGATCACACGAGCACCCGTGCCTAGCCCGTAGTCTAGCTCCCATTGCTAAAGTTATCTCCGCAGTGACCAGGGCGGTGGGAGCGAAGAAGATCGGAGTGATCAGATCCGTCGATAGTGGCGTCGACGGGAATCAGGCACGAGTGCAGCGGTCGACGGCGGCCGCAGGCAGCTCATGATTCAACACACAGACGACGTCACTCTTCCCCGCGAAGCAGTGGAAGGCACACGTTTATGACGCATGTATCGGCGGGCGGGATCGCTCCGACGTATGAGTACTTCAAATTCTGATCAGACAAGATCGCCGTGACGACGCTGCTGCAAGGTCGGCGGGACCTCATCACGTGGAGGGAGGCTATCGAGCCTCAGCTAGAGATTGCCAGGCTAATGGGGTTCGCCGGCGGCAGCATACCAATGCAAAACAAGGACGACATCGAGCTACGCGCGGAGTTCCATGCCGCTCACCTACCGACTTTCATGGTCATTTTGAGGTGCTGCTCGCCGGTGGTGCAGATAGCGCTAAAGTCTGTCGCCTTAAGTTGGATGCTGGCCACCAAGCATAGTGGTTCATCTTGTCGTCATATCAGGCGGCAGACGATCTGTACGTCGCTCAGCTGAAGGAGTAGCTGATTCAACTCCGGATGGGCGATCAGGAGTTGGCGACAGACTACAGCAACCATGCTCAACGGATCGTTGCCGAAATGCGGATGGCAGGCGTCGACTACTCGACGGCGTTGTACATCACTCATGTTGTCAAGGGAGCAGCTACAACCTTATGTGCCGGATGTTGGTGATGCCCGGCATGTGGGAGTCGCTCGACGAGGACACCCTCCCCAGCCACATCATCAAGGATAACACGATGCAGGAGGCAGAGCGGTCCACGGAGCTCCTTCCGCAGGCGAATTACACAGCCCTGACAAAAAAGAGTCGTTGGCAAGGGCAGCGCAAGAAGCCGGGCGGAGGTGGAAGCGGAGGTGGGAGGTCAACGAAGGACGTCAACCAGAAGTAGTCGGCCCAGGGCAGCGGTCGAAACAGTGGTGGTTGACGGTGGGAGTGTTGGATCTGCAGTGACCCCAACCACCTCTTCTTCGAGTGTCCCGACCGCGAAGACAGTGACGAGGACGACAACAAGGGAGGCTGTGGACGGTCGGCCAGCTGTCGCCCACGTTAAAGAGGATATCATCAACGAAGGACATTGACAGCTCCAGCGGCAAGGGTCGAGGCGATGGTGTGGCGTCGTGCTCGATGGTCGACATGGTGGAGCCGACAGTCTCGCTTGCACCAGAAGCCGGGGAGAACTTCAAGCCGGTCGCGGCCGCCGTGCAAGCAATTCCGATCGTGGTGCTGCTCGACAGTGGCTGCTCGCACCACCCGATGGGGGCGAAGAAGGTCTTCGTTGACATGGCATTGAGTGGCAACGTGAAGCATGCGCGGGGAATCAACGGGGCTCTGCGGTCCGTCGAGGGACGCGGCACCGTCGCTCTGCAAGGGAAGCAAATTCTCATTTCCGACGTGCTCTACGTTCTCAGCGTGCAGACAAATCTGCTGTCAGCCGGCCAGCTGCAGGAAAGCGGTATGAAGCTGCAGGACGACAGCGACGCGATGCTGCTTGTGTCGAGTGCACGCGAGGTACTCGGTCGAGCACGCTACACTGGGCACGTCCTTTGCACTGACCTTCGCCCCTGCTCGATGAAGCCGTCGTCGAGGTCGACCGAGGTGGTGGCTCTGCGGACGATCGCTTCAACGACGAAGTCGACCCCCGACCGGTGGCACTCGAGGCTCGCGCACGTCGGCGTCGACACGATCAAGAGTTCAGCAGAGCATGCAGTTGCTACCGCCCTCGACATCAAGCCGACGAGTGGAGCTGACTTGCCATGTGTCTCGTGCGTCGGCGGGAAGCTGGCACGGCACACCTTCCCCGACAAGGGCTTAGACATCGAGGAAGCTCTGGCTGTCGTACACATTGACTTGTGCGGGCCATTCCGGACGGCCGCCAAGGACAGAAGCTTGTACTTCCTCAAGCTGAAGGACCGCCACAATCGGTTCGTGTAGGTGAAGCCGGTCGCTCAGAAGAGCGGTGTGCTACGGGAATTCGAGAAGTGGCTGCTGGTGGTGGAGCGGCAGACGAAGAAGTCGGTGCTTATGCTCCGCTCTGACTCGGTGGCGAGTAAAGAATTCACCACATTGGTCGACGAGAAGGGAATCGTTTACGACTTGACGTGCTCGTACACTCCGCAGCAGAACGGCATGGCGAGCAGGAGATGCGGACGGTGGTCGAGTTGTGGACGATGCTGCTGCACATTTGTGGGATCTCGCCAAGCGGTAGGCCGTCTAGGAGCGCAACTGCTTGGGATGCCGTACCAGATGCTGACCGGCAAGAAGCCTGATTTCACGTTGGCGCGGGCGTGGGGCTGCATGGTGCAGTTCATGGTCATTGACCAGCAGCGTGGTGAGAAGCTGGCGCCGAAGGCTCGCTGGGGACTTTACCTGGGGGTGTTGCCGGAGAGCAAAGGCTGGGAGGTGCTCGACTTGACCAGCAACAAGCAGGTCACGTCGGTCATGCTCATCTTCTACGATGTCGTCTGTCACTAGAAGTCTGGAAAATGAAGTATGGGCCTACGTCAGGGCGGACCGGGGCACATCCGCTGACGGCTATCTCGACGGCGCCGTTCTCGTTGCTCGCCGAGGTCGACAAGCCTGCTGATGAGGACGTCGAGGAAGTCCCACTTCCTCCTTTCCCCCCTCTACCCGTTGCTCCACTCCGCGTTGCTGACCTGCTTGAGTTGCCGCTGTCGACCACCAACGACGAGGGGAGCCTTGAGGCGTCGCCTCTGGCGCCGGCCTGTGGCATCGCCGGCGGTCGACGTGTCGCCAAGCTCATCGATGAGGTTGTGCAGCCGTCGACAGGGGAGCTGGTGGAGGAGGCAGCAGAAGTGCCGCCGACGGGAAAGCAGCACAAGGAGAAGTTGGCAAGCAGGCCGACACGAGGAGAGCAGCCGGTCGGGGGGCCGACGCTGGCGAAGCAACTTGTCAACGACGAGGATGTCCATGCTGAAGGGGAGCTGTCGGCAAGGGAGGAGTCTACCGACAGCGATGTGGTAGAGGTTCCGGTCGAGAAGCCGGAGCTGCGACGTCTGCCCTCAGCCGCCTTCACCATACTGCTCGACGACGCTGAGGCTGATGTCGACCTGCCAGAGCTCGACCTCAAGGTGCACGCCGACCCCAATCACCGCTAGGACAACGCGACGATGACGGTGAAGGAGGTGTTAAAGAGCTGGAAAAGCAAGGCGGTGAAGGCCACCAAGGATGAGAAGATCCGCAGCCTCATCGGCAACGGCACGTGGGAGCTGGTCGAACGCCCGCAGAGTGCACATCATGAAGAATCGGTGGGTGCTGATGACATAGTACCACGTCGACGAATTAGGTGA